CCAAATGTCACTGAACTTCTCCTGGTTTAGGCTCCTGGCTGTTCAGCTCTCAGAGCCAGTGTCCAGGGACACACAACTCTAATAAATTCGATGGAAATAACACTGTCACTTGATTGACGCAGACAGTGACAGCAGGTATCAGCCTTGACTTATATGGTCCATATGACTGCTTAGAGCAAGCTCAAATCCTCACAAGCTAAATACTAACAGATTAAAGAAAGAAATCCTGTGATGTTTGCTGCTTTTACTGTTCATTTTGGTTCAGTCTGCATTTTCTTTTTTAAAAAAATTTATTGCTGGGACTAAATAGCATGTGCAATCTCCTGCTGACAGATTCTATCTGTCTAACTCCTCTGATACTGCGGAAAGAAACACGGAAGATGTGGACATTTCAGTTGTAGCTGTAACACATTCCCAATTTTATTCTGGATGAAAGAGTGGAGACTAAAACTTTTGTGAGAAACATACTGTCACTGGGACTTCTGGGTACTACACAATACTGTGAGTCCTAGGACTCTATATAAAGATTTCTCTAAGTTCCAAAAAAATTCCTTTGAAATTATGTTAAAAATAAAATCTACCTGTATGGAGCCAGAAATGGCTGTCACATTCTTCCTACAAAGCTCTTCCACAGAAAAAGACAAGCATTTTCAGTCAACTGAAATCAGCCTGCTTACATGTAATGGGTAGCTAGAGGCACTTAGTGCTTCATCAGCTATTCCCAGGTTTTCTACTTCTAGGTTTGTCAGTTTACAAATCCATGGTCCATTAACCAATGCAAGTGACCCCAAAATCTTGACACTAACCAGGAAGATCATCCATATCTCTCAGTAAATTGTTGAACACCTGGTTAGTATTTGTGAATAACATGTACAAAGTCTCTGGCACACAGCTATCACTAGCTCTTGCTCGTTATGATAACCCATTAGGTCTTGGGGGAGGGTAATTGAAATAATTCTGTGGATCAGAACAAGAACTGAACACATTTTGAATAAACTCTGGGCTCAGCTCTTCAAGCAGCTGGGCTCTTGCTGCTTATTGACAGTATTTGGATAGGCCTTTCAAGAAATTTTGTGAAAGCCAGTAGCCAGGATGGACACTTGTATGGCTCCAGGGACCTGAGTAGCCACAGTGATTTCTAGCAGCCAGCCATAGGATCTAGATGGAGAAGTATGAAGTGCTTTGGTGTATTGGGCCATACTTCAGATGTGTGGCACCAACATTGCATTGACTTGTGCTGACTCATAATGTTTAGAACATCTGCACTTCCAATACTTTTTCCTGAATACTGATATTTTGGTAGTATGATTTTGGCCAGGAGTAGGCAGAGAGGAGCTGGATAATGAATTGTAGGAGCCAGTGGTGTGCCCTCATTATGTCTGGTAAACCTACATATAGGACTTCCTGTTCTTTCACTAACTTTGAATCCTTTACAGTTGCTTCAAATAAAGAGGGCTTTCTTTCATTTGGTTTAAGAGAAAATTATCTGTCTCTAACACTTAATATATTTTTGTCTTTCTATGGCATGGGCATCTACATCTGAGCTTCTGATCTGGGCTTCTTTGATAATTGTTGGAGACATATATACATTTCTAGGGAATCTTAAGCAGATTTTTAGAACAAGTAAGGTTCCATGAAAAGGTATTTCTTCCCAATTTCTAAAGGGATAATAAAAAAATTACATCAGACGTGGATATCTGGAACATTTTGGATATCTCATGTTAAGGAAAAAAATCAACTCAATCTGCCTCAGATTCTAATCTGCAAAATTACTGTTTCATGTATTATGACTTATCTTGAAATTTTTTGTCATTTAAACTTAGTGTTCTGCATTTCTTGTTACTGAATTGCATCCAATTTATTTAAATTATTTTCCTAATTTGTCAAGATCTTTTAAAGTCTGTCCTCATATATGTTTACAGACCCTCACAGCTTGATGTCATTGGAAATTTAATAAGCACACTACACTATTTAATCATTGACTACCTACTCAATGACTCAAGTCACTAATGAGAACATTGATAAGAACCGGGCACAAGACTGATCTCTGCAGAACACTGCTCAATACGTAATGCTAGAAAACAAAGAACCATTACTGACTGCTAAACAGGGTTTCCTAAACATGTATCTGCCTCATAGCAATTTCATGAAGATCTTCATTTTATGAAAATGTCACACAAAGCAAAAGGCAGTGGTGAGGTCAAGACATACAGTATATACTATTCTGCATATTCAGAGCTTCCTATCAACAGAGAAGGAAATCCAGAGGCTATGATATGTTCTTGGCAAATTTATATTAATTGGTACTCATTCTCACTCTATTTTTGGGATGTTTACAAAAATGTATCCTTTCATATTGCTATTATTGCATAAACTGAAATTAGATTACTGGTCCATGATTTCCAATCTCTTCCCTGCCTCTCAAAAAGATAAACTTTATATTTACCTTCTTTCTCTCAGGAACTTGTGCTATATTAAGCAGCACTGTCTGTCTGAGTAGCATTTATACACCCTTTTTTTGTGGTAAAAGACACTGAGGAGAAAAATATAAAGGAAAATTTTTGTCTCCAGATCTTGCCTTGATTTGTAGGTATAATTTGATTAATAGTTCCAACTCTGTTCTTTTCTTCTACTTTCCAAGTTCTTGACCTTTTATGAAAGGTTTGTTTTGTTTTTCACAAAACCATATATAGGTTATGCAGAGAAAGGTTTTCCATTTTATAATGCCTAATAGGGCATCCTGGTATTGATCATTTTACAGAGATATGTTTATGTATGCATTGAGAGTGATTTTAATTAATCGTGGGAAGGCAGCATAAACGCTTTGAAAATTCACACCAAAGTAATTTTATATTAAGATATATAAGGTTCATGATGACTCTCAGCTAAAATATGTTTAGCTCAGTCTATTCTTTTCAAAAACAAATTTTGTCTTTAAGGATTTTTGTAACACAGGTGTCTCTTTACTATTCATGGAATGGTGGTATCCTAAGATTGCAATGAAAAAGATTTCTGATCTCTGAAAAATCATCTATAGCATATAGAATATTGTTCACATTTATTCTGAGTGTAATAAATGTTTCTCGAATAATCTGAGATAACTGTTAATAGAATATTTTCAAAATGTTTTGATGAGGTCTTGGACACCATGAAGCTTTGGGCATGATCAAGACCTGGAACAGGTTGCCCAGTGGAGCTGTGGATTCTCTGTCCTTGGATAAGCTCAGAACTGGCTTGAAGATATTCAAACCAGACTCAGCTGAATGGAGCCCTAAGCAACTTGCTTTCACTGGACCTGTTCTGAGGTTATCAAAGTCAAAGCAGAAATAAAGAACATATTTTAAACATTGAGGCTTACTAGTCAAAATTACATTTTTTTTTATCTTTCAATGTCTAAATACTATTTCAAAGACACGATTTTGTCAACAAATGACTGATCTCAACAAAAAAATGGAATAATATTCTAGGGATTGTGTTGTATTTAACACCAATATAAGCTCCTGTTTTTTTCACAGCAAATTATTTTTCATTATTCTCAAATGTTCTGTTGAAGCAGTCATAGCACTATTTGGAAGTACTTTTGATTTCACATTTTGTCTAATCAACTGGAAGTATTTTCCATTTACATTCATGTTTACTTTTACAAGTGAAATGCTATCTACAGGGATTAATATTGAACACCATAATTTCTAGAAGTGTAGTTACTTCCATTTGCAAGAAACATTGCAGAAATGTTGAATCATATTTCCTGAACATAATGAAAAAACGAGCTATCATTTAACTAATATTACATTTGAAGGAAAGAGGAAATAATATATGAATAACAGGAAATTCTGCACTGCTGTTTTTAAACCACCAAATAATTTCCCTCACCACTTGGAATCTACCTTTTAATAAATGAAGTCACTTTTATTGTTCATCAATAAAAATTCTAGAGGGCTATGTCTTCTGGTTTTTGGTGGTTTTTTTCTTTTCCTGTGTTATCACTATTTGTACTCTTGGGAAAAAATATTTTGACATACTTTTTTTCAAATCTTAATATGAAAGAATTTGACAGATTTATTTAGGCAGATCAGAGAACCTTCATTATATGAAGAAAACAGAGACAAGACAAAAAAGTGGAATTACTGAGTGAAGGGAAAGAAAATACAGGTGCTAATTACTCTGCAATTTCTTACACTACGTGTCATTTTGTTACTGAAAAGTAAAGCTATGAATTGATCTACGTAATTTGTTAAGTCAACTGTTTTTTGAGGTCTGATTGCTCTAATGAGCATATAATTTCAATCACAGCTCCATCTACCTAATAAAGGGCAAGAGGATGATTAATTATCTCCTATCTAGAGGAGGAATCATGTTAAGTGACAAAATTTCTGTGATTTCTCCTTTCATGTAGGGGACACATGTGAAGGTTGATTTGCCTGTTCAGGTCAGCTCATAGGATTCTCCTTAGCTAATTGCTGTTTCAATCTTGTTGGCTGGCTAATTACTGCCTTTTTTATGTGCCTGTACACATCAAATTTTGAAAGCAGCTATTGCCTTTACCTTGTAGAGGCGGTATCTTGATCACAGAATATTGTTTCAAAAAGTTTGGAGAAATCACTTATCTCAAGTTAATCACAAAGCTGTATGGGAAGCTGCATAGGGTTCTTGTAAATTTATTTACATAGTGGAGTTTATATTGGTTTATGCCATCCTGTTCAGCCTAGGGGATAAAGCAAAGACACTACCTTAAGACAGAATATCTGGAAACTGTGAGAAATAAGTGGCGCAAAAGGTGCTGTAAATATTTAGTAGCTGGAAAACCTGGCTGAATTAAGCTCTTCAAAAAGGCCATTTCTGTTCCTGGTTTTGAGAGGCAAGCAGATCCCATACAGGACAGTTTCCAAGAGAACAGCCTAGAGGTACATGCATAGCAGATGTGACTCAACGTGTCTGTTGCCAGGGAGGTGCCATTTAGCTGTAATTATGAAATCAATTCCTTCTGTCAGCAGCCTTACCAGAAAGCTGGCTGCCCTCTCTTGCAGATAAATGCTCTCATCAGCTCAAGCAGTCCCTGTAAGCAGCATGAAAAGACCATGTACACGGGGGTTTCAAAGAAAACATGAGCAACATTGTACTGTCCAGTTTCAATGCGAGCAGTGCCAAATAAAAGCAAGAAAAGAGACAGCCAGATGTAAAAGAGTACCTGTCTGTCTTGACAGCATTGGCTCTCAAAAGCAGGCAAATATTTATGCAACTTTTACCAGCTTTTTACAAAGCACTTTTAATCAAGATGGATCTCAGTAATGAGGAAAATACAGCTGTGTCAATTTCTCCTCTTTCTCCCTCTCTAAGTTTTTGTAACCTCTTTAGCTTATTGAAAATTAGATAGAAAATTAGAAAGGAAGAAGGATCTTTACCATCAGTCCTAAATTTCATCAAATCTCACTCTAAAGACTTTCTGCATGTTTATGAAATAAATTAATAAAAATAAAGAAATCATAATTAAAAAGAAAACAAAATTAAACAAAAAACCAAACACAAAGAAAAAATACGTAAGGCGAATGACTTAACCACATACAATTAAGAGCAGAAATATGTAACTAAAATAGACCAGTGTTATTCATCACAGCATAATAAAATCAGTCAATCTCAAATGAAACATTACTCATACGGTACAGTATATGATAAATTTTAATATACATAATTCCTTTACCTCATTATAACTAAATGTTCACTTTTAGCAACTAAAGAAATCAACAGATAATTTACTTTACTTGCAACTATATATGTGAGCAAAACATACCCTCTAGACAAGTTTATTTGAAACAGGAGACCAAGTTAGGCTACTGAACATTTTCTGGAGAAACATTTTCAAGCTTCCAATTTCAAAAATCAGGTAAATTTAGGTTTTAAGATATAAACTATTATTTGAGGTGTTACTGGATTTCTTCAATGGCTAATACTAAAACCCAAAGTCTCATCCTTCAGCTGCAGGTTTTATGAAAAATAGCAGAGAGATTAAGAAGATTGAGCCCTACAAAGCAGGGAAGAGAAAAAGAGTCCAAGAAATGAGAGATGGGAAAAATTAAAATAGTAAAAAAGACAGGGATATAATCCAAAATCCCGGATGATGGACAGAATCTTAGAGTGGGCTTCTTTTTCCTAATTTTAGCCACATAAAAGTTAAGTACTGAGGTAAGCCATTGAGACTACTTCTATTGTCTAAGAAGAGACACATGCTTATTGAAAAAAAGATGTATCCTACTTGACTTTGAATCCATTATGGTATGAAATTAGTCCTTAAGCAATCTAACATTCTTTTTTTTAAAGAGGGTTGGCTAGATATATAGCTTAAGCTTCAACTAAAGGAATTGCTCAAATTAGCTCTCTAATTTTTAAATAAAGTCAAATGAAAGATGCTCTGCTTACAGGAGAAACAGAAGAAGATAACTGAGATGGTTTTCCTAAATAAATAATAGAAAAATCAAAACAAGCAAATAATCAAAAAAACACTGTGTTGTTGTCATCACTTGATAATTAATCAATAATCAATCACTTATCAATCTCTTGATAATTAATTGATCATTAATGTCTGTCTAATTCTGTGTTAACAAGCAAATATTCCCTTTAAAGTATAAAAAACAAAAAAGGAATGTGAATATCTTTGTCTGGTCTTTGTAAATTTAATACTGTCTCTCACAATTGGTCATTAACAGACGTATTAACTGAATAATCAAGCTTACTAACATGCTAAGGATTCTTTTTCATATCCCTCTCTTTGTAGTAAAAAGATTAAAAATATAATGAAATTATTACAACTAAATTAAATTTTCCCATTTTTCTCAAAGAATGAGTGCTGCAAAAATAGAACAGACATTTAGTACTTAGTTACTTCAGATAGACAATGTTTATATACAGAAAGTATTTCTATCATACTACAGTGGATTTCACTGCTTGCTGAATATTCATTCTCCACTTAAGACTGACCCAGAGCAGACATTTGATACAGATGGCTGACTTCTGCAGTCAAATTAAGTGTTACAGATTCATGACAGGGCCACTTGGGATCTGTGCATGGAAATAAAAATCAATTCAACAAATCTGCACAAGGATGCAACTCTGTTTTATTTCCTTTTGCAGTAGAAACTGTTATAGAGTCCTGTGGATTGAGCAACGGATATTTGATGCAGATTTATAGTCTGGACTTGGAATCATATAGTCATAAGATACACTGAATTGGAAGGGACCCATCAGGGTCATTGAGTCCAACTCCTGGATCAGCACAGGACACCACATGGATCACACCAAACTTCCTGAACTCTGTCAGGCTTGGTGCTGTGACCACTTTCCTGGGGAGGTTTGTAGACACACTAATAGATTATGGACAACAGAAAACAGAGCAGGAATGAGAAGTTTCCTCCTTTATGTCCTTTTTCCTCAATTTCAGAGACTAGTGCTGAACAGAAATCTTAAATTCTTTCATGTTTAGTGTCTATCTTCATATTTGATTTCTTTAACATTGAAAAGCCTGAAAGACTTTTTAAAAATTACTATGTTCAAACATAAAGCAGAAGTAGATCATGAAAACTGGGGTTCACCACTAACCTTAACCAGAGGGAATTACACTGAACATTCAGGACACATCAGTTCCAAACACAACTCTGTGACAGCTTCTGGGGTTTGAATCTTCTCTCAATGTCAGTACTGAATCTGTAAAAAGAGGGAAGGTATAAGCATCAAATCTTGTCCATTAACTTTAAAAACCTCCAACAAACCATAACAAGGCATACAGAAACATTTCTGAGAAACACCCGGCTGAAGAAATAGAAATGAAGATTTAGATTTGCTCAGGAGCATGAGAAGCAGCATGCTAATCAGTCAGCAATCAATACACAAGAGAAGAGCTCAAGAGGGGTAACAGAAGGAAAGCTACATAGGTCGTTACAAAGATGTTCCTAATAGTGAGAAGAAATTATTTCTACATCATAGGTGTTCCATGCAGAGTCATCCTTATTTTTGTGTGAATACAACAGCTTTCAAAACAAAGTAATTTCTAAAATGTTTCTATGAAATGGAAAAATTTGGTTTTTTTCAGTTTGAAACTTTTCCATAATGAATATTTTGTAAGCATTTTGAGTGGGGTCAGAAACAACTGTTTGTGCATTTCTTGTTTTTTACAGATTTCAATAGAACAAAATATGAGAGATTTTTATTACTACATATTCATTCACACAAATATAAGAAATTACGACTATGTAAAGGAAAATAGCTGTAAGAACTAGACATGGCTCATTTATTATAACCATTGCCCTGATAGGAGGAAGTGTATTTATTTTAATGGTTAATGGAATAAGTATTCACTTGATGGAAAAATTAGAATATAGAGAAGTGACTAAAAGCCTAGTGAAAATTAGAAAACAAGTAATCTTAGAGCCTGGGGCTTTTAATCTCCTATTCTAATTCCCAGTCACTCTTCCATTGAGAGCCACTGTTCTCATTTCAGAGAGATTTAGGTAAGTGTCTCTCTGTCCCCAGAATTGGAAAAAAACCCATAAGCTTCAAGAATCTCATAAACACAATTGAAATAAATTTGAAGTGGAAAAAGAAGATTGTACAATTATAGGGTTAAGTGAAGAACCAAAATAAAACCAAACCCAAACCCAAACCAAAAAGCACGATCTACCAGAGTAAAGTCTGCTGTCCTTGAAAACATTGTGGAAAGAACTTAGGGGGAATTCAGAGGAAGTGATTAATTGGTCACATGCACACACACGGTGAACCCAAGTGTTTTCCTTTCACACCCAAGCCATAACTGCTGTCTACTGAAACTCATTTTTCCTCAGGTTGCTATCGATTTAAACAAAAATTTACCAACCAGACCCATATCTATGGCTATAAAAAACATTCTCATCATGTTTAGTTTCTAACCAACAAAGTTTTGTAACTCCAAACCACCCTGAAGAATGCATTCTCTGTTATTTTAATGGACAACTCGTGAACTGAAGCTTTCCCAGTCCCCACGATGGTCCATCACTTTGTAATTACTGGGAAATTCCTTGCAAGCAATCTGTGAAGCCCAGACTGCAATTGGGTTTTTAACTCCCTGGCAGATGTGATCACAGAATTATCTTGTTATTATTTTAGGACATCATGGTACTTTGAATAGGTGTATTAGGAAAAGAGTGCATGAAAATACACATATGAATCAGATCACATAATTATTCAGAAGCAGACAAAATTCAGTCTCTGATTTATTCCACTGTTAAATATATTCATTATATTGGTTTTTTTTACTTAGTAATTAAGCTTCCCAAAAGTCTGAAAGAATTGGTTCTATGGAAAGAACAAAATAAACCAGAACATTTGTAATTTCTGATTCTTTTTGCACTAGTGAACTTGTCTTTAATCCATTTATATTGTATTTCTTCACCATTTGACTATCTACAATAGTTGAAAAAATATTTAGTTTTTCAAGTAAATGGAAATCAAGCACTTTATTTGTCTGTGTCACTGATAGACCTCAGGCACATTTCCTTATTTGTTTAAACTTTTCTAGGAAATCCTGTCCTAGTGCCAAATACAAGTGTTGCTTTTTCACTCTTGGTCCACAAAGGTACTAGGAGCACCTACTAAATATTCTTGAACAAGGACTTAGCAGAGGCTGCTGTTGGGGTTTTCCACATCTCTTTACAATTTTCTGCTTTTCAATGACACCAAGTTCACTAGAGAGCTGCTGTGTGTCCCAGGAGCTTTCACCCCATGCTAGGGAAGTAAACAGAGGGATGCACTGAGTACTGACCTGCTCCTCCCTGCTGAGCCACATCCCAGTACAACTGGGATTTTACTAGAATTCCCCTAATTCACACACTGCATCCACAGTCTGCTCCAGGACTTCCCAAAGCAGAAGGGATAGACCTCACTTTTAAAAAGAGTAAAGGCAAAATGAGACTACTTCCACCCTTCCACGTGATGTCCAGAGAGGTTGTGGAGACCCTTTCACTGAAGATATTTGAACCCTGGCTGTACACATCCATGGGCAATCTGGTGTAGATGACCCTGCTTGAGCAGAGGCTTGTGCTGGAAAATCAACACAGGTCCCTTCCCACGTCAGCCATTCAGTCACAGGATTCTGTGATTCTTTGTGAAAGACATTTGATAATCAATGGGCTCATTGGCCAGAAAATTATTATGGAGGGGTTTCATTCAACTCCCATTGCCTTTCCAGCAACTACACGAGCATCTGGCTCAGACCCAGGGGCAGCATGCTATCAATGGCACATTCTGCAGAATCTTAGAAGCTGCAAGAAGCCTGGGTTTAATGAGTTCTAGTACCATAAAGAAAAAAAATAATGCAGAGGATGGATAGAAAACAAAGCTATATGTGGACTATGCAGTGCAGTGTGGTAATAAATATAGTTTCTATAGACAATTGCAGCTTCTCAGCTCTCTGGAGCTGGAGCCCTAGAGCCAAGAGGAAACAGAGAGAATGGGACAAATACTAAGTGTCTTTTATTTGCTTTAACGTATATGGAAGATTATTATGGACCTGACGATCTAGAAGTTCTCTTCCAACCTAGTGATTCTGTGATTAAAAGAGAAGAAGAAATATAAAAAATGATAACCCCCTCACTTATTATAACTAATTCTTTCCATAAAACAGGAGATAAAGTATGTATTCATAGAGAGGCACGTCCATCAGTTTATATTTATAAAAATACTAATGAATATGATTTTTACACATTTTAAATGTTTATTTAATGAAAATGAAGTATGTGATGCATTAAGGGACGATTATTTAAAAATAGCAGCACCTTATAATGCAGTAAAAAGGCGGAATCTTAATAGCTGCTTTCATTTATATTTTATGTACAGAAATCCAGCATAAAAACATTATGAGAATCTGACTGTAACTAAATCAAAGTTATTCAAAGTAATGATGCTTTCTCATCTTTTAAAAATTTACTCCCTTACACTAAGAAAATTATATCTGCAGGTGATATATTAGACTGCAAATTTAAACATGGCTGCTCTGTCACTTTATCACAGATTCACTCTTTGGCAGAGAGATTTTATGGCAGCTTCACCTGTGCTTCTGTTCACTACTAGCAGAACTCTTTGGGCTGATAGCCTATAAAAACACAAACTCCTAAACTGGTATTTGTCTAAATGCAGAGCTTCTGCTCCCACTGTGACTCACAGATGGACAGAGTCTTTGGTTTGCAGTCCAGCCTTTCCCAGTGCCTGACAGGGAGTTACACAGAGAAGTCAGGTGGGTCAAAGCATGGCCATGACCGCACCTTGCCTTAGCAAGGGACTTCTTAAAAAAAAATCAAAAACATGAAAGAGGCTAGGCTGTAAACTACCAAATCTGGCAGCATTACTGAAACTCTCTCCACTCTTAGTGCTCTATCTCAGAGAAGGCTGCTCAGCCCCATGAAAAAGTTTCCACTCTGACCTTGAATTAAATGGCAATTATAACAGAAGTTCAGTAAATGAGCCCTCTCCCCTAGTTTTGCCCATCTTTAATGCCATTAATTCTTCTATACATATTTTTTTATATAATACATATATTGGTAATTAAGTGTCCATGAAAGAGATATACAAGGAAAGACCACTATACTCTGCCTGCTCAGTATGCATTTAAACTGCAATGTCCTGCTGATACAGGGATTATGTTGTTTGTATGGCACACTGTAACTTACTGTGGATGCTTACAGGGCTTAGAACAGAATAATGAACTGCATTACTTTCATTATAAGGTGATGATGTTTTTCTAAATTAAGTAATACTCACAAAAATATTTTCTCCCTATTTTGTGTGAAGCATGTTTAAATAGAAGAGATATAGCATGCGAGCACGATCAGATACCCTGCAAATAGAAAAGTGACAAGTGTCTCTCTCCCCATACCATATGTAACACAAGAACACACACAAGCTTTTCTATTTGTTGGTGCTTATGACAAAAGAGCAGAGCTGAGCCTATGTCCTGTGTGTTCACTGGACTACATCAACTATGTAGAATAATTTTGATTGTCATAATGGTGTGCGTGTCAAATTCAGTGACGTGCACCCAAGGATGTGGTTTGCAGGAAGCATCAAAAACACCACTAGCTCATTGTTCAAAAATAGCTGATCTTGGACCTTTGATGCCTAAAAAACCTGATGTCACTGAGTGAAATAGAAACAAGGTAAGAAAGCAGCTACTTTTAGAACTAACATTTATGCTTGACTAGAGGCAGTGGGGACATAATCTAACTGGTTAGCTGGTAGGAGACCCTACAGGAGTTTTCTACGAAAACAGGAAAACCGCATTAAACTGACATTTACTCAGCAAGCCACCAACCAGAAGTGCTTGGGGGACCCTCTACACTGAAGCAAAATGCCAGAGCTGTATAATGATTAGACTTTGATGGATCCCACTGACGTCCCAAAGGCTGTTCTGTTTCTATTTTTTATTTCTTTCATCTGATCTTCATCCATAATTTGACAAACTATTTTTAAGTGTCTCTTTTCCTTGTGATTTATATATTCCAGGCTCACCAAATTAATTCAATACTTTATCCGATCACTAACCACACTTCAGCTGTTAAAGTAACGCTGTATTCCCAAACCCATCATGTTTAGTCGTGACGAAATCTGCACTTTAACAGCAGTGACAGACATACCCCTGCAGCCAAGATCCCCCCCAGTTTGTCCTACAGTGATATTCT